GTCCAGACTCGTGAGGAGTACCGTGTGAAGCGATCCGGTAATGATTCAACCTTCACCAGATTCCTGTCGATCAATCCCCCAGCCACTTCTGTCAGAAAGACCAGATATTGATCCCAGCAGTCAAACCAAGAAACGAACTGAAGCTCCCACCAATTCAGATTCTACCCCTCAAATCACTCCAGTTCAGTCTCAGAAGCCACGCAACAAAAAACCAACCAAAAAACCCAAGAAAACCACTGGCGCCACCTCAGTTGGCAACTCTGAGGCAAACCCTGGAACCACGATCGACCTTGCTCAGGACTCTGATGAAGAAAATGTGAAGGCCAAATTCAAGAGGCAAAGGAAGAACCTGGAGGAGGATGATATCAAGGTTTTTTTTTCTGAACCTTTTTGCCGTAAGGATGATGTAAGTGAGACTTGTTGCATTTATTCTGAACATCTTAATTAATAACATCATTCTAATTAATTTTTTCCTCTTCTTTTTGTTCTTGCAGCCAGCAGATAAACCTCCGTCAACATATAGCTGTTTGTGGTGTAAGAAAGAAGTCCGGGTGTCAGCGTCTAGTCTTTCCAATCTTCGTGTGCATCGTGATGGCTCTCGTCAAACTGGAAGGGTCTCAAATGGATGTCCAAACCGTGCAAAAGCTATCGCTGCTGGAGCTAAACTTCCTCAGACGGCCCTTGATGAAGAGAAAAAGAAGAAAGGAACTCAAGAAATCACGAGTCACTTTGCTAGAGTAGAAAAGTTCGACAACATTATTCTTAATCGAGTCGTGGTTCTATGGCTGTTGCGCCAGGCGATACCTTGGAATCGAGTTGAGGACCCTTATCTTCAGGCCGCCTTCAACTACTGTGAACCTGCTGCGAATTTGTTCAAAAGAAAATGGGCGGCAACGGCTTAAAGAACAGCGTACTTGGAATTACAAGAAGAAGTGGTTAGACAAATAAAAGTAAGTAGTTTATTCTCATTAAAGTCAAAGAACAATCTACTTATATTGTTCAAATTATATGTAATCAGGCAACCAACAGCAAGTTCAATTTGATACAAGATGTATGGACGACAAAAGGAAATTGCTATGGATTCATTGGTGTATCAGCATCTTTTATCGATAACAATTGGAATTACGTTGTGCTTCATTTAAGCCTCAAATTGGTTGCCTGGTTTCATCAAGGGGAATTGCTGGCCGCCCCAATCGTCAATATCTTGCAGAAACATCAACTCTACAATAAGATAAGTATTTTTAACTTGTTAATTATTTTCATGATAAAAGGTCAAACCTAATTTTATTTTCTCATATTTACATGCTATGTCAGACCACCGATTCAGGTTCGAATAACAATACCATGGCTGAAGAAATGCACACCAAACTGGCCCTTCTTGACACGGACGGTAACTTTGAATGGGAGCATAAGACAATGCATATTAAGTGTTTTTGCCATAAAATGGCTCTTGTTGTGAATGCTGGTTTGAAGGAATTGGGACTCCAATCCCCGCCTCCACCAAAAATGAAAAAGGTGTTCTTAGGTTCTTTTCCCTACTCAAATACGATGCCAAAAATCACGGAGGAGAATGAAGATGGAAATGAAGGAGACAATGAAGACAGCAATTCCAACAGTGAAGCCGGAAGTGATCACACCGAAGAAGACGACGCCGAATCGGATGATGATGACAAAGATGATACAGAGGATTCCCAGGAGGCCAACAAGGGTGTGAAAGACGGTCAAAAAGAATCTTCCTCAAAGGCCAACAGGAACAATTCGAATGACTTGAATGATTTGGTTACGGCAGTGAGTGATTACATCTCTGATATTTTTTTTGAGTGACCTACTGACAAGTTTAAATGATGTACATAGTTGGACTTTGTAGTTAAGAAAATTACCGGATCGTGTGCCTGGAGACAGGAATTTGAGCGACGAGCAGCTGGAAAAGGATTAAAAAATCTGATTGCTGGCTATGGTATCCGTTGGAATATAATATATGAAAGCCGAACTTGTGCCTATGAAGCCAGAGAAGTATGTTATTTATCCATCTTTCTAAAAAACTTGTTGATTAATATTTGCCAATCTAGGTCATTGATGCAATACTCCATGATGAGTATGACAAATATAAACAACAACGGTCCAAATCAAGCCGCAAGGAAAATCCCAAGAAGCTCGGTCACTTCAAGGAGATCCAGTTCACAAAGAAGGAATGGGCAATGATTAATGAACTGAATGAAGAATTAGAAGTAAGTCCTTTTTATTATTATATATAAGGTTTTATATGAAATGCCCATTTGTTTTTTTCAGCCATTCAACCGCCTGACCAAACTTATGGAGGGTGATGGTCCTACCGGTGCTTTCATCTTACCAAACTATTATAAAATAATCTCAGAATTGAAAAATAAGGAGGATGCCTGCAACCGAGGTCACCCGATGCATCCGATGTATGTCAAAATGATCAAGAAACTAGAGACCTACGAAAACGAGGCACTCGAGTGTCATACTCTCATTATGGCGACTTTGCTCCACCCCAAATTACGGCTGAAGGCCTTCACCCATTGCTGGCCTGAAAAAGCAGACTTTGCGAGAAAACTTCTGGAGAAAGAATTTGCAAAACGTGTGGAGGATCTGAAGAAACAGAAAGAAGATAATATCCAACTTGTCGAAAAAGAAGCCCCCCCGGTCGAGCAAAATGATATCTTTGAAATGTTCAATGCACCTGCAAGAACCGACAAAAGCAAAGAGCTCGAGGTGTATATCAACAACATGGATCGACTACCATTGCCTGCCTCAAACGATCCCAAGAGCATTTTAATTTGGTGGAAGGTATAAAGTTACCTTCTTTGATCATACTCATTTGGTAATTACTCTAATCATAATTTGATTATTCATCTTGTTCAGGATCATTCAACCACCTACCCGGTTCTTGGATCACTGGCCAAGGACTACTTAGCATCCTCTGCATCCTCATGTGCAGTTGAGCGTACCTTTTCTTCAGCTGCTGATGTTTGTTCAACTGGGCCGAGGGAGTTTGAAACCCCGTACAATTGAAAGGGGTGTTAGTAGCCATATGTGGTTAAACAAGGTATTAAAGTTGCTGGAGATTTCACCAAAGCACAAGCAGTTGTTTCTTCGTACATTGACTATTCCCAAAGAAAAAAGTAGATTTTTTCCCACCTTTTCTTTCTTTTGCTTTTTAACCACTAGTATTCTTTTTATCACTCATCTCTAAGCAAAAAAAAATCTTAGTATAAAAAAATCA